CGAGGTATGCGCACTGGTCCACTGCTGCAATCTCCTCGATCCCCCACTTCCTTCTTTGTTCTACTCGTTCCTCCTTGTTCTCGTTGAATTCCATGACGGCACTGTTCTTAACGTTGGCAGACAATCTCCGCTTATCATTAAACATCTTCGCCGCGTCAATTTGCAGTTGCAGTCCCTCAGGGGTGTCCGACATACCGACAAAATCATCCGCAAACAGCATTCCTGAAACCGACGTTTCCGTGTCCCCTACTTTTACTCCCTTCCGGACTGCCTCTACGACTTCCAACAGATCGTTGATGAACACCTGGAACAATGTTGGGGACAGCGTGCAACCTTGTGGGACCCCCTGCTCAATGTCGAAGAATTTTGACAGTTCTCCGTCTAGCATGACCGCGCTTTTCGTGCACTCTGTCATCTTCTTCAGCACTCTCCACATTTTCCCCTTGATCCCGTGTTTAAACAGTTGTTTCCACAGCACATTTCTCCATGCGGTGTCGTATGCCTTTTTCACGTCCAGGAAGAAGCAGTACGTCGGCTTTCCCGCCCTCTTTCTACCTTGGATGATTCTCCCTACCGTGAACACGTGGTCTACGCACCCCCTCTTCTTGCGGAAACCTGCCTGGCCCTCACTAATGCTATGTTCCTTCTCCAATACTCCCACTATCCTATCGTTCAGCAGCTTACAGAACACTTTTCCTACTGTGTTCAACAGTGTGATCCCCCTGTAGTTTCCTGGGTCAGTCTTGTCTCCTTTCTTAAAAAACTTCATAACTACTCCTTCCCTCCATCTACTTGGCGTATATTCGTTTTTCCACACCCAATTGTACAGCAGTACCATNACGAGTCGCATGAAGGGTGTGCTGTATCCTGCTATGGATGTTCGGCATGTTGTGCTCACTTCCGTGCATACGGATGACAGCTGCCTATGACTTCATTTTGTGGTGCTTCACTTCCAGAGACAGTTGAAAGCACTGTGTAACTGCCTCGAGGGTGCTTGACCATTTAAGACGACGTGGTGCGGTCATCCCCTTGCGCGGAGTGAGGGTTCTCGACCCCGTACAACATGATCCACTCGACCACCATGATGGTTACCGCCAAAAAAAACACAGGGAAAAAAAAACGGTATCCTGGTTGCCGAGTTCACGAAGTGATTTGGCATATTTTACAACGCCATTGCCAAGCGACAAAAACCCAATCCCGATGGCAAACACCGAGGGGGTGGCTTGTTTACAACGTCGTTGCCAAGCGACGAAAACCGATCCCCGATGGTGAACTCCGGGGGGTGGGGGCGGGGGGAGCGTACTCTTTATATTTTGCATGTCTTAGCGGTTAGACCATTGACCACGCGTCCTCGAGAGGACGGAGCATTGTTCCCACAGGACCGATCACCGATGGCCAATCGTTCCTTTCTACTTTGCCAAAGGTGGCTCAAAAATGTCTTCCCTAGTCTGTCTATCCTAACGATATCCCTTCCCGCCTTTTCAACCCACCTCCTATGCCCCACTACAGCTACCGTCCTTTCCTCTCTATTCCATGCCTCAAACATCTCCCTGTACGTTCCATCTATTTTATCCAGCTCAGTCACGTACAATTCCCTCTCCTTTTTGTACAACGGACATTCCGCGACTACATGAACACGGTCTTCGCATTCGAAGCCGCAATCATATTTGAACTCGTCGTCTTCCTCGTCTACCGTCCTATGTCTTCGTCGACGTTCTCGAAAAACACCGGGGGGGGGGGGCTTGTTTTACGACGTCGTTCCCAAGCGACGAAAACCCAACCCCGATGGTAAACACCGGGGGGGTGGGAACGATCTCAATTCCGACACGCCGTCGGCAAATAACAACAAACCCTCGGAATAGCCAGCCAGGTGTGCCGGAAAAAGGCAGCTTGATAGGGCAGATATGTATCAGGAAGCATTTATCGTGTAAGCTGCCCTAGAGCTCTTGGTTTGCCGAGCGGCCGGTTTCGGATAGAGCCGCTGGTGCTAACATAGTGGACATCTCCCATTGGACTTGAGGAGGACGGGTCACAGCTGTAGAGAGGTGCTGCTGCTCTGCTCCGTACTGCTGTTTCGCGTGACTAGCACATGGCATCATCACAAAACCACAGTTGTGTGCTACATTGGGGTCGATACGTGGCCTCAAGTACAAATTCACAAGCTGTTCGTGCACACCTGCCATCGCGCGCCTGCTGACACTCACCCAGTATAAGGTTCAACCTCGACGCCACTAAGCACCGCCGAGCAAGGATCAACATGGAAACAGGGAGTAAGACGCTGTACCGTTTGTCATGTGTTTTACCAAAGGTGCAACAAACAGAACACCCCCGGGTACCCCTTTCCAGAGCAAACATACAGTTAGTGCGCAATCGCCACCAAACTGTCTGGTAGAGCCTACTATGCATACCCACAGGGAACAATCGCTGTAGTGCTCGGGCAACCATAGAAAAACTGGTAATGCTACGCTTATGGGATGGATTCTTCGCTAACTTGTCCTAGACTCTCATCTGTGGTACAGGCGGCTTACAGCAGTAGTTGTGATACTTCTTGCAATGAAAATGCAATAGAGACGAGACACCTCAGAGGAGCTGTCCAACCACGGGGATCAAGCCATCTAGTACTGGACGCCCAGTGGGGGACACTCTGGGACCTTAGCACTAGCATGTCTGTTTGCCGCACCGTCTTCGTCACTATGCTCCACTTTGTGAACAGCGCGTTGAAAACCTTGGTCTGCCATGCTTGGGTGGGGTGGTACACTGCTGTGTGAGATACTGCTGTGGGATGCCTCTCCTCGACCTCTGACTTACTTTTCCCGATCTCGGTAAAAGTCTGCATAGCCTAGAACCGGAAGATTCGCTGACTTGTGCCGAGTTGTCTGCAGAATGGCAAGTGTCCCCATGCACTTGGGAGACACATTTCTGTCTAAAACCAAGTGAGCCTTCGTCCCTCGGAACTGTACAGCCTCTCCGAATGAGCGGATGCGATTTGTCTGGACTTCCTGCAACCTGTATTTCACTGGGTTCTTGTAGCAAAGTGCCTGCCCAGAATTGGGCAAGATTGACGCTAGAATACTCTTGGCAACAACCGGACCTCCAAAATCGTGTGAATAAGGAGCAGGGGCTCACAACTTCAGCCTGATTCATGGCGCCGCGCCGGCATACGCCAAGGCACAGACCTGCCGCTGGATGCGGCGAGACCACACCAGCTTGTACCGCGTGCTCATGGCCCAAAGAAGCCAAAATACAGCACCGCATTGAGCTGCAAGCGAACCCCACCTTCCGTGGTTCCACCCCTGCGTCTCCCACTGTCCTCTCCCCTCTCCCTTGCTCGCCCCTGCCCCGTCATACCGACAAGCAAGTACCTCCTGAAAATGAGCCACTGCTGTGCATCGATTTTCAAGTAATTTTGGGGCATTGGGGCATTTTGGGGCATGCCCCAAGCTGCTTTGTGGCACTTCAGCTTGTTCACACACGCCTCAACCTCGTCCAATCACCGGTGGGGGGGGGCTTGTTTTACAACGTCGTTGCCAAGCGACAAAAACCCAACCCCGATGGTAAACACCGGGGGATAAATGTGCTTACTTTCTTGCGTACGGGGGGG